GCACAATTGTTCTACTCGCCCGGAACCAAATGATCTCTCTAACCAGTTAACAGGTGTGTTTATTATTTAAAGTTAATATTTACAAAACAAAACGTTGCAACGGTTTAAAATCGCAGCAGCATTACCATTGCAAATACATTTGTACTTCACTTAGATGGGTTATTTTTTCCGTCAGACAAGACATGTATTAATGATCTAGTTCCATTTAAATGAACGATCCTGTGGTGAAATTTAATCTGTTGATGGCATTGATTTTTATTTCAAAGAAAGCCCAAACTACAATGTGTGGGATAGTAACTTTAGTGTACATTTAAGTTGAGTGTTAACACGTTGTTATGTCGTGTGAGCACTTGGAATCTACTCCAATCAATAATTGTGTGTAACAGCCGTGCATATAACTTTTGTTTTCATCATTTCTTAACTGCAACTTTGACAGTCTTTATATAGACATTGTGATAAGGCAATTCTGCGTTGTGACCTCGTAGATGACATTCTGATTCCTTCATCATTTTGGGCTAATGTTATTGATTATTCAGGGTTCGAATTGATAAATGTGTTGATAGGTAGATTAACAGACGCTTTAATGGCATAATACAATGTGAATAAGTATTTGAATGTTTTCTTTACATAAGACGAGTTATCAGAATGAATAGTTCAGTAGTACAAACATTAATCTTTCAGGCATTGGTAATGACAGATAATATTGACAACATACCGAAATAATCTAAAAATGTCTTTGTGCTTTAAAATACTTTAAGAGCATGAGGGTAAAAATATTTGGTTGTTTAACAACTAAATACTGCTCCGAATAAGTAATGACGCACACAAATTAGATATTAATCCACGTTGTGCGGATATAAAGTTTGATACATTACTGCAGAAAAAGTGCAACAGCGGGTAAAATAATTTAATATTAACATATTAACAAAAGAGCTAATAGATGAGTCATACTTGAAATAATTGATTTTAATATAATTATATTTAACATATTTTGGAAAAAGGAAAAAGTTATTAAATTGTGCATGGAGAAATTTTAAAATTATATTTAACGAAGACTTTTTTATGGATTATCTTTAACGGCATGTAGTTTGATCTTTTCTTTCTTATGTATAAAGTATATTGATATATTAATCCAATTTGAGATAAAATTTATATGTTGCATGTTGTATTGTTTCTGTAAACTGAATGCTTTTTAGTTTAAAAATAAATTTACTGCCGTTGTTCATTTGGTTCATTTGCTAATTGTTACATGTTTTGTTTATATTTAAATTTCTAAAATTAGAAAATGAAGTGTGTGAGCGATCGATTGATCGAGTGAGCGAGCGGGTAATGAGTGAGCTTGGATGTAAGAAAGTAAGTTGGTAAGCAAGTCAATAAATAAGTATTTGAGGAAGGAAGTAAGAAAGAAAGTAAGAAAGACTGACAAATTAAGTAAAGTAAAGTAAAGAAAAGCAAGTAATCAATCAAGTAAGGAGTAAGCATAATGAGTGAAAATGTAAGTATGTGAATCATTGAGTCACAACAACAACTAGTAAGCTAAAACCAAAACCGTTAATATTTGAGGCCTTTGGCATTCCTACTACAATACCAACCTTACTTGTCTTTGACCTAATTCAATAGGATATCTGCCACGGACCTTTGACGAACAATGAAGGGTTTAATTATTTAGTGGTATAGAAACTTCCTTCAAATGTGTTGCTTGATTCCATTCAATCCCATATTTTGTTATACAGTTTTAATAACAATTTTGACACAATTAAGTCTAAAATATCACACACAAATAATTTCTTTTATCTTAAATTTTGTTCTGTCAGTTTTGTTACAAATTCTCTTCAAGTCGCTATATACAAAATAAACATTCTCTTTACATTGATCGAGGTTCTTAATGTTTTCCAAAACCTGCCTGTATTAGCCCTTAATATCTATTTCTAATGAAAACTTACTTGTTAATTTTTGCTTATTACATTTTAATATATAAATGTTGTTCGAAATATTGAAATTGTATCTTACTTTTACTCTTCACATTTTTCTTTCCAAGTGTCAAACAAATGCATGAATACCTTTGACGCTGGTATTTGATACTTTTGAAAAATTTGATTACATAGCCAATTTGTTTTACGAGAAATGGTAATCATTAATTGCTTTGTGTTGATATCATACATAATTTCAACTTTGGTTAACCAGAGGTCGATATTATCATCTCTTTCAAATTAGAAATTAATCAAATGGTATTAGAAGAAGAAAGAAATGATGTAAATTTTAGTTATACAAATCAGTACCATGTATAATGAACCGCCCAAAGAAAATATCTATGACCAAAAACAGAACTTAGGTTAAGCAAGACCCATCTACGTAATTAATAATGGAAGTAGACCATTCATTCAATTTGTTCGAAACATGTTTTGTATCATTAACTCTTACCTCTTACGATTGTGGCTACTCTATTGTTTTCTCTATTGTTCTATTTAGCCACACAAAAGAAAATAGCCACATAAAAGCATTACGGAATGTCCAGAGGATAACTCAAAAAGCCTTTGAGATATCACTATAAAACTTCATGGGTGGATAAAATCGTAAGGCGGCGGGGATATAGAAATAGTCTCCGTCCGTCTGTCCACTCTTACAGGACAGTAATAATGTGACTAGAGGGACAATAGGTACCTGTTCTTTCTCTTTGATGTCATTAATTCTGTAATTCTTCTATGTGGATATTTTCTTTGTGTGGCTAAAAGTAACAATAGAGAGAACAAAAGACTAGCCGCAATATTACTGTCCTGTTAGAACATCTGGACGTCCGTCCGTCCATCTGTCCGTCCCATATTTTTGTGGAAGCATATCTAACAAAGTATTTGAGGTATCAACTTAAAACATCATAGGTGGATAGATCGAGTGCACAAGAATGATAATGATAATGCCACTTTACCATGCACAATTTTTCAGTTATTGCTCTTTGTCCCTTTTTTTTAAACTTAATTTTTCTCCAAAGCATAACTCAAAAGCCTTTGAGATATCAACATGAAACTTCATGGGCGGATGTATCTCACTCAGGAGGTTTGCAGTGCACAATAATGATAACTCTACCCCTCATAATAATTTAGTTATTGCCCTTTGTTATTTTCCATACTTAATTTTTCATCTGATTGAAGCATAAGTAAAAAAAGGCTTTGAGATGTCAACATAAAACTTCATAGGTGGATTTATCTTATTGAGGATGAATGCTATGTGTAACTCTACCCTTTATAATTTTTGAGTTATTGCCCTTTTTTATTTTTCATACTTTTTCTCCGGAGCTTATCTCAAAGCGTGTAAGACGTATTAATTTGGAACTTCATATGTGGATATATCTCATTGAGGAGGTGTGCAGCACACAAGAATGATAACCTTTCATGCATAATTTTTCAGGTTTGTCCTTTGTTATTTTCAGCCATCATTATTCACATAGGTTTCAAATCTGTAATCACTTCAGCCATCAGTTTTCATTACCAAAAGACCTCTTAAAATTGAATTATTCTGCTGTACTACATATACATTCTTCAAATGAGCAAACACATTCGGCGGGGGATGGCCATGTTAACATGGATCTTCTGTTTTTACTATAACTTTAAATTCCCTTCCATCGGTTAATAAAGTGTTAATACGAAACTTCAAGTGTAAAACCTTTCAGGCGTTTATACATAAAAGTATTAATAAAACTCTATGACTTGATTATTGACGATTCAGTTATAAAAAATGCCAAAACATCTCTTCTATTGCATCAAATTCTTTAATAGCGTCCAAATATATGTATATCATTTCGATTTTGATTTTGTGTAATGTTCTAGTTTCTAGTAAAAAAAAAAGTTTTGTTTTTTTAGTTTACATTCATAGACGAAAGTGTTTTATTATGCAGACCAATGACTCAAATACAAGGTTCCTTTCAAGTGCCATGTTTTAAGTACATGTATTGTACAATAAATAACACAAAAAGATAAATTTCGTTCAAATCATTACTTAAAAAGATTTGGTGTTATTTCACACTTTGATAATTGTAAGAAGTAACTTTCACATTGGTTTTCCAAGCACCAAAGTCTAATAAAAGCACTTTCTACTCGTACAATTAAGTGTGCATTTAAAACATTTATCCATATTTGCACTGTTGATTGTATTCATCTTGTACGGTACCCCTCTCATGATTAACCGGTATGAAAAACAAAATATCCTCATGTCACTAATGACAAAGCGGTTTTTAATGATTTTTTTTACTGAATCTCGAACAAATAAATACCAAACGCTACTTGCATTGTAGTTAGAGGATATGTTTAGCTTTTACTTAAAACAGTTTTCTGCTTATCTTAAATTGATTGTCAATTTGTTACTTTTAGGTCAACGTTCAAATGCAAATACTTAGTTTCAAAATCAAACTTTGGGGAAAAAAACTTCATTTACATTTAATAAAATTTATCAGTGTAACATGCATAAAGTTGTTATTCTGAACATGGGGCTTTAAAGGCCGGTACCAATATTTATTAAAAATGAATCTGTACTTGCCACATTGTGAACAGTTCTGAGCAATATAAGATAAGATGAACAATGGGTGAAATAAATGTTCAACTTTAATTTATAGTAAAAAATTATTGCAACTTTTCAAACATTCAGTGACTCTATTATTCCACCAGTAATGTAATGTAAACAGTGTCACATTTGACAAATGTTTATCAAATTTATAAACTTATCTTGATATGTTCACTGCAGCAAATCGTAAAGCTACCAGTTCTTTTAGAGCTTTGAACACCATTTGACATTTCAAACACGTCTTAATTTAACTCCACTTTGTAATTATGAAAAAAAAAACACCTTTGCTTATCTTTTGTGTAAATTTATTTTTTTAGCCTATTTGTTTTTCGTATCTTGTTACAGTTAAAAAAAATATACCAATTCCATATCTGGACTATCTTTTTGATCTGTCGGCAATTGGTATAATTATGTTTATATTTTTATTACATGTTTACATGTACGTTTCTATCATTTATAATTTGCTAGAAGTATGTATTTACTTAATTGCAATAAACGTCTGAATTGAATTTATTCATAGTAAATTATTATTTTGTATGGAAGTCAAACTTCTGCTTTGTTTACATTTTGCTACTTTTCCGTCTGAACTATTTATACATGTTACATCCTCTAAATTTTTTATTGAAACATTATTAAACACATTTATGGCATTTCCAAAGAATATAAAATACATATTTCGTAGGTATAATGTGCCTTATATGTTAAAGGGACTGCAGTGAGGTTTAAAAGCCTAAAAACATAATATTTGAAATTCTTACATAAATGAGATGGGGCACTTTAAACAGAAATATATGCAAAGATAGTTAAGAAATATACTTTGAAATAAATTACAATTCATGTTTCTATGCCTTTCTTAGCCCTATTTGAGTGAAAAATGTTTAAACGCTTTTCATTTTGGGTCATTTTTTTACAATTTGAATAATTATTCTGGAAAAACGCGAAAAAAGTGCGCGAATGATTTAAAATTATACATAAAGATTAGTGGTCTAAACCTACATCCAATGGTACATTTATTTGGAAAAATATTTTCAGTCCCATCATGTCAAAAAACCTCATTTGAGTCCCTTTTAAGTTTTATTTTCAACAATAGTAATAATGATTAAAACATTGTAAATGCGTAAAACCAAATAAAACGATGAAAAAAAAAAGTTTAACATAACAACATATTGCGGGTCATTGGGAGTCAGTATACTCTTCCGTAAACTTTGCCCCCCCGGAAACCACGTGGCTTCTTTATTTAATCAAACACGCTGTAACAATCATTATTTAAATATTTACTTTAGATAAAGGGCCTATTGAATCATTCTGCTTCGTACAAATAAATATTGCTCATGCATTCCTTATAATTAGAAAAATAAGATAATACCAAAAAAACAAAAAAACAGACAAACAATATAAAAAACAACAACAAAAAATAAATTAATTAAATAGAATAAAAAAGAAAAAAATCTACAAAAATTCTAAAAAAAAATTTCTAACAAAAAAAAAAATTCTTCAAAAGATATGGTCGCCTAACAACTCGAACAACTCGTTTTGATTGAACATTATTAGCTTGCTTATTCATTTTGTAGTTTTATGCATTAACGGAAGTTTAAAAATATCAGCAGGTAAAATTCTTTTGAATTCTTAATTGTTTTTATACATTTTTATGAAAAAATATGTTTATAGATTATAGAAATGCGTGAAATAAGTGGTTTAAGGTAATTTAATACAAGAACTTTATCATAAAACAAAACGATTGAACTTGAATATTTAGTTTAAACATATTTATTTCAGAATATGTACATAATAACATTTGAAATATATACACCATACAAAATTTGACAATATTCCAAAGAAGAGGATTAGAATGAAAAGACTAGGTCTTATAGAATTCTTCTCCGTTTTAGTTGTTAAATATATCGGTGTCGAACTGGTGATCTAAAATTTTCTGAGAAAAATATATATTACCAAATGGTATAATAGAAACCAATATTATATGGAGTATGAAAGGAAGTAGTAATTTCAAAGAGAAAAAGGGGAAGAAGAGTCTCATATTATTTGTTATGTGTTAATCGTTAAAGGAATCTTTTAGTTTTGCTATAAAAGACTGCACGTTAGAGAATATTGTTGAATTATCATCATCTGATAGGCCAGGGTTTCCGAAGAGAAGAATATCGAGATTGATATCAAAAGCTTGAATATTAATAAATAATTCATTTCGGTACAAGTTGTAGCGATAACATTCAAAGAAGAAGTGATAGTTGCTTTTTGGACTTGACCACATTCACATAAAGGTGAGGGTGATATGTTTCTTAGAAAAAGATGATAATTTTAAAGAACTGCATTTTGTGCGAGACGTGTATGGAGAACCTGTAATTTTCTGTTACCAGAATAGTAAGTATTTGGTGTGCGTTTTCTTGTTACGTGTTAAGAAGTTCTTGAATGATGAAAGTGTTGGTAAGTTCCGAACTTCGGTTGGTAAGTTGTTCCAATCGCGTATAGAAGAGGGAAGAAAAGGAGTTGTAGTATAAAGAAGTTCGCGCATATATTCCAGCAGTATTATCAGAGTTACGTAAATTATACCTTGTGTTAGTTTGATCAGGAATTAAGGAAGAGAGAAAGTCGGGAGTCAAATTGTTATGCATTTTATAAAACAAAATTAATCGGTGATTATACCGTCGTTTGTTCTAATGTTTCCCAATTAAGTTCTTGAATTAGGCATTCGATAGAAACTAATCTTGTCGCACCTGAAGCAATCCTAGGCACATTCATTCTGAATCTTTATCTAAGCTTTCGAGTTCATATTGAAAAGCATTTCCCCAAATGACGTCTGCGTATTCAAGAATAGGACGAATGAATGAAGTGTAAATTATCTCAGAGATTTTTCTGTCCAAAGAATATTTCAACTTTCGCATTATATTGACGCGCTTCCAAGCCTTTTCGGTTATATATTCAATGTGTGAATGCCAATTACAGTTATTAGAGAGAATAATTCCTAGGTGTTTATGATCGTTAACTTCTGGTATATTTTGATTGAGCATATATAAAGAAGGGTGGTTTGCGTTATGTTTTCTAGATACAATAAGTGATTCTGTCTTTGATGGGTTGAATGTGACAAGCCAATTATCTGCCCATGTTGTGATTGTCTGTATATCTGTTTGTAACTGTTGAGCTGCGACTAGTGGATTTTCTATGACAATATAGAGACTTGTATCATCAGCAAAAAGGTTGACAGATGATTGGAGATCTAGAACAATATCATTTATGAAAATAAGGAATAGCAGAGGGCCAAGAATAGAACCTTGTGGTACTCCAGCTGAAAGAGTACCCCAAGATGATTTTGAATTAGATATAACTACACGTTGACGCCTATTAGTGAGATAGTTAGAAAACCATTCGAGGAGGCTGCCGGAAACACCTGCATATTTGAGTTTTGAAAGTATACCTTTATGCCAGACTTTATCGAACGCTTTACTGATATCAAAGAAAATAACCCGAGCTTCTAGACCATTGTCAAGTGCTTTGCACAGTGTATCATAGATAAAAACAAGTTGATTAACAGTAGAGTCGCCAGGAATAAAGCCGGATTGAACAGGAGTAAGAAAGTTGTTAGCTTGGAGATGGTTGAAAAGATGTTTGAATATTAGCCGCTCAAAACTTTTTCAATTGTATTAAGAAGAGAGGATAGGGCGGTAATTATTTGGAAGAGAGGAGTCACCTTTTTTAAAAAATTGCAGATACATGGGCTACTTTCCATGTCGATGGTACTTTACGACGAAGAAGTGAGGCATTAAACAAATCACAAAGAGGTTGAGAGAGTTCATGTGACGCTTCGCGTAGAATTCTATTACTTATACCATCAGGACCGG